CAGAGGGGGAGGATGTAACAGACCTATTTAAGTGTAATTGAACTATTTTATTCACCTCATGAACTATAACCGAACTATTTTATTTAAACGCCATCTCGTGGCGATATGAAAAAACGTCAGTCGAACTCCAGCCGCCATGATGTTGTTTACTATGTCTCTGTTATTCAACTGTTTGATGTTCCATTTGGTATATGTTTCATTTTTATGTATATTTCTTTTGTTTGTAACCGTTCCTGTGTGCTCTGTTAATAAATCCTTTTAAAGCTAGCCGGCATTAGTGTCTATTGAGGAACGGCTACATCACAGATATAAATATCCTGTTGCAGGCTTTTGGAAAATCTATTTGCTGCTCTTGATTATTCCTTGACTATAACCTGCAGCTTCTTCTGATATGATATTAAGTTTAGCCACTTCCGTTGAGTAGCATACTTGTATAATCTGAAAGTATTGCTTACAATAATTTGTGTCGATTCTTTTCTAAAATTGGTTATTGGTGATAAGAATAAAATGCTACAACAACTAGTTTAATGATTGTAAAATATATCATAATCTGCAATACAAACTTAATGGCTTGCCTAATTATTTCAAAATGGAAATTATTTTTGTAAAGAGAGTTTAGTAGTATAGTTGCTGTTGTTGTGACTTACCTCAGTTGTCTTACAGGAACATCAGAAGGTCACAAAATTCACCGCGGCAAGGACAGCAATGTTGCACTTGCCGTTGACAACAAGATTGCAACATTGCGCCTTGAGCACCATACAGGGGACAATACGACTTCGCTCAGTGCCCCCCCCAGTTTTCATGAAGAGCACCTTGCAGGGCACGGGTCCGAGGATCTCCCACCTCTCTTCCCCTACCACAGTCTCTCGAGAGGACTTTTGGCTCGCCGCATTCTTAGATTGCCCCCATGCAGCAACGACACTATACACTTACAAATATCCATGCCTTCTCCTGGATTCGAACCCTGGCTCTTCGGTACCGCAGTAGGCTCCCCTAACCACTTCTCGGACCTAAAGAGTCAGACATTCCATCAGCTCCTAAGAATATGGCAAGAACGTTAGGATCAAGCCTCCACAGGGAGACGTGTTTACAATCTCATTCCCAAGGTCAAGACAACAATCCAAACTAATAGCAATTACATGACGTGTTTCCTCACTGGTTAATGGGCCCTTCCCTTCATACCTCTGCCGCTTTGGCTTGAGAGAGAATGGTAACTGTGAATGTGGGGAGGTGAATCATCCAGACCATTTTGTGTTCTCCTGCCCACACACAGCACTTAACAGCCGCAATCAACCAGGAGCCAGATTCTGCCCAAATTAGTTCCAGAATCTACAAAGTAACAGAGTTGCCCGGCGGAAACTGAAAACAATAATTGACTACTGTACTATCAATTACTCTTCTGACGCTGGAAGATAGTAGTCATGAAAATCTATATAAGCTACAGGGGTTGAACAAAAATATGGAAACACCTTTAAAAAAATGTTTCTTTGCTTAATATGGTGTAGGAAACCCGTTGGCATCCAAAACAGCTTACAGTCTTCTCGGAATGGATAAATACAGTTCCTGTATGTTTGCCAAGGGAATATTATACCATTCTTCCTGCAAAACGGTGGCAAGTTCAGATAACGATGTTGGCGGTGGATAACGAGAACGCACTTTCCGTTCCAATGTAGACAAAGGTTCGATAATATTCAGGTCTGGTGACTGTGGTGGCCAGGGAAGATGGGACAACTCATCCTCGTGCTCAGAAAACCAGTCCTGGACAATGTGAGCTGTGGGAACAGGAGCTTTGTCGTCTTGGAAGACACCATCACCATCGGGGAACAAAGTTTGTACCATGGGATGAACTTGATCGGCCAAAATGTTCACATAAGTCTTGGCAGTCATGTGCCCTGACACAGTTATCATGGGGCTAGGAGAGAACCACGATATGGCTGCCCAAACCATAACAGAACCCCAGCCATGTTTCACTCTTGGCAACAAGCAGTCTGTATTATAGGCTTGAGATGACGTTCTCCAGACGTAAACTCGGCCTGAAGTGGAAAACAATGCGAAAGAAGAATCGTCAGACCATATTACTGGCTTCCACTGCTCTATAGTCCAGGCTTTATGACTTAAACACCACCTTTTCCTGTTACGGGCATTAGCATCACTGATGAGTGGCTTCTCAATTGCAGCACGGCCAGCAATTCCCTGTTTATGAAGCTCCCTTCTAATTGTTTTGGTACTCACAGGGTTCGGTAACACAACATTCATTTCAGCAGTAACTTTTGCAGCTGTGGTCTTCTTATTTTTCGTCGCAATTGCCCTTAATGATCGTCTGTCACGATCACTCAGGACACACTTTCGTCCGCGCTGTGATTTAGCAGATGATGTTTCTCCGCTTTTCAAATATGCGGAATAAATCTTCGATACAGTACCTCTTGAAACACTAAAACACGCGGCTACCTACCTGCTTACGGAAGCACCTACCATACGTGCTCCAACAATTTGCCCACGTTCGAAGTCTGTTAACTCTGACATAATGCAATGACAACCTCACATAACAGTACTCCGACAACAACTGAACTGTTTAGCACATTTACGAAGTTGTGTAGGTGGCGTCAGTAGTCAAAAACGCCAGTGCCACCTACATATTTCATTAAAATCAATCTTTCTTTTCAAACATGCATTTCACAAGGTGTTTCCATATTTTTGTCCATCCACTGTATTTCAATGTGTCAGCAACAGAGTATGTGATATGTATGTTCAATACAAAATTTTGTATTTATGCTGTCCTAGGTTCTAATACATAAAGTTCGTACTGTATCTGAATGCTGTAATATATCTGTACATGTTTATATCTTTTATTTATGGTACCTAATTAATACTAAGGATTCCGCGTACCTCAATGGCATGCTTCTTGTAAAATTTAACTATCACGATAATATCAATATGAGTGAGAGTATGTATACTTTTATTTGTTTCGGAATATTTAGGTATGTAAGTGTGCATATATCTGTATATGAGTTGGTATTTATATGTATACACATATACTTTGATTGTACTCTTCTTCATGTTCCTTGTATGCACATGTATATCTCTTTTTTTGTATTTTATAAATGTCGTCTGCTCAGCCGGGGCTGCCCAAGGCTGCGGCCTGGTATCTAGTGGTTGACTCCCGCCGAGTTGGTAACCAATTCTGCATGGATATATCTATACCTGTGTCGGAAGCCAACTCAGCGGTTTTCCTCCCCTAACCACTCTACCGTCTGGGCGGTTAATAGTATAGTTATGTAGCATATTGCTCTTTCTTTTTATAATAGATAAATGTTTTACCTGCGCTTATGTTCGTAGTGTTTTCTATACATATAAATGCAAAAAACAATTGATAATTCAAGTAGATCCAAAAACAAATTAATCGGAAAATTTCAAAAATATCATCATTGTAATCTGTAAATAGAACTGTTGTTCTTTTAATGGCGGTAAAGCCTTTTATTCCTGATAATGCATTCAAATTGTTCTTTAATAAATGAAGTGTTCTAAGATTCCTTAACTAAAAATTGTGTTAAGAGTTTTTTCGCGAGTGTGATATGTTTTACATTTCGAATAACTTATTGTATGTAATACCCAATGTAAAATTTATATTTCTGGATTCTAATGTAAATTAATTTTAGCGAAAGTTAAAAAATGGTTTTCAGTTTACATAAAAAGATTAAAACATTGATATTTTTTTTCATGAACTATGGTTAATTTTAAAACTGAAATTAACGTATTAGAAAAGAACACGTCATATAACAAACGTTAAAGAAACTAATAATGAACAATATGACTAAGCATAACATGAGTAAATTTTCCATTTGTATTTCGCAAAAATAATGAATTTTTTCCCATTTAAGCACATGTTTCTCCGTCTCCATTTTCATTCCTGCAACTAAAGAAGATGCTTTTATTTTAACAGCCGAATCTATAACTCTTTTAAATTTACTCATGTTATTTTTTTTTTATTATTCAGTATTAGCCTAAAAGTGTAATTTGCCCAGAAAGGCTATTTATTTTGTTTTGGCATTTTGCGTTGGCTCATTATAAATGGCGTTTCACATTTCAAACTGCTGCCACCAAATATTAGAGCCCTGCATTATATTTAAAGGAACTAAATAATGAAGAGTCTGCATAAATTTATGTATGTTTCTCGCATTGTGAAAAAAACAACAGTACCTAGAGCCATCAAATAAATAAACCTAGAGCCATAAATAATTCTAATTTTGAATAACGTACGTTTCCAACCGAATATGGGCATCTGGAAGCCCAAATTGGGAATTTGTTTTATTGTCTACTTCAAATTTTGTAAAGCATTTATGAGTTTTGGGTTAAGAAACTCAACGATTTCAAAGCGAGCAATGGCAACACTGCAGGGAAAAAAAATTATCTCCAGCGCGCGAGCCTGTGTATCGGATATTCTAAAGATATGTTCTTTTTAAATTATTTTTTATATTGCTGTTGAATTGTATTTTATGGTTTAAGTGCGAAGAACATATTATTTAATAAATAAAGGTAATACACAAAAAAATTGAAAAACGCCGCTATGGACAAAATATAAAATCTTAAACCTTTCATATTTTTTTTAGTTTTTAAAAAAGATGGTTATAGATTGAGAAAATTCCATTGATATCAGGCTCCTCTGCATTTAAAATAGAAATGACTAATTTGTTACTATATTTTCTTTTTAAGTAAAATTTAAAATATATAAATTTGCCACAGAAAAAAATCTATTAAGCTAGTATTTGCAGTTTGCAGCGAAATACATGTATTATCTTTATTCTGCATTCTTAATTAAATCTCGTAGTTTTGTGAAAGCAAACGTTTGTTGCATTTTATGAAACTCAGAGCTTTGAACTTCCTTAATAAATTCTTGAACTCAGATGAATATGGTAGTCTTGAATGTAGTCTAAAACAGTACTCTAAAATCTCAGTCTAATAATGAAATGTCTATTTACAAACAACTTATCCTTTTTTTACAGATTCAAATACCCATTACCATGAATTTGCTGCTAATTTCCCTCTTCATTCTCCTTGGAGCTGGAATTTTTGCTGTTCTCGAAGATTGGGATTTACTTAGTTCTGGATATTTCACATTTATTACGTTAACGACCATCGGATTCGGTGACTATTACCCTGGAAAAGCATTTCAAGGTTACAAAGGAAGCATATGTGAGTAAAAAATGAGTTTTCTTGTACTAGCTTTAGGTCACTCATTTTTACTTCCTTGTATGTATGTATTTCGCATAGCTCAAGAACGAGTAGCCGTAGAACGTTGAAATTTTGTATATGGGACTGCTATAGCATGTAGTTGTGCACCTCCCGTTTTCTTGCAATCGACTGCACCAATCATATATAATATATATATGTTCTCGGCAAAGTGTAAAATCCCACATATTAAAAAATATCTAGGTATTTTATAGAATGCCGAAAGCTGACCGGCAATGCCTGAAATGATTAAACATTTCACACATTACCTAGGCATTCTATAGAATGCCAAATGACAGACCGGCAAAAGAGTAAAATGCATGTCCGAATCGTTTCGAAGAACAGAAATTATTTACCAGAAGTTAATAGGTGATGTGAAAAAGGCCAAAACGACTGCTAAGAAAGAATCATGGGGACTATTGATTGCTGAATCGCTATGTTGTGATGTTTTTTAAAAACAAAAGTAAACGCATTGTGAAATCTATGACCATTTTTTCCTGAATTGAATTCCCGTTGTCAGGTAGATCTTATTGATTTTCAATCTCAGCCAGAAAGAAAATAAACAAAGTTATTGTCCTGTACCAAGATCATCTCACTACTTTTTTACGTATTTTGAATAATAATAAAATTTTAAAAGCAGTCTTTCATTATTTTTTCAAAATAATATTTGTCCTTTTTGAACACGACCTTTTTTTCATTCTTTGCCTAAAGAGCATTTTTCATTCTACAGAACGACTAGTGTTATATATAATGCCTAGCTAATGTATATAATAATTCTCATATTTCGTACTTCGCTTAAAAATATTAGGCATTCTATAATATGCCTAGGTATTCTATAGAATGCCGGAGTTTCATGCATTGCCGGTAATATATATGTATATATATATTCCCACGCTGTTGCCTAGCTCGGTGAGCTTAATATTTTTATTCTTATATGTTAGTAAACTGTGCATTTTTTACTTTAAATGTGATTTAATTATGTGAATTTTATGTTCCGATTAAGGTTGTTATGCCTTTAGTTCATCTGCATGCAAGAGTTGTAGAATTATCAACAATTTAAAGTTTAAGTGGCGAATTAAGCCTAATGAATCGTCATTTGTTTACATTTGAAACTCAGTAGAATAATGAATTAAGTCAGTTTCTACACCTTCAATATCTTTTGCCGAGGGGGACCAAAAGTAAATTTTCATTTGTGTGCACCGAAAAATATGTCTTCTTGCCCGCTGGCCGAATTGCTTGTTTTTGCATAAAAAACTGTAATTTTAAATTTTAACTGTATTTGGTATTTTATATTTTTCTTTACTTTACAATTTTTAATGAAAATGTTTTGAGTTTTTAATGCATATTTGCTTTGCCACGAAGTGAGAACTGAATTATTTGAATGAGAAATATATCTTTAGTGAAATTCCAGGAAATAAGTTTAAATGAAATGCAGCAAAAAATGTGTATAATTTAATGCGCTATACCAAGGAAGTCATGTAATATCCGAATCATATTTTTAACTATCACTTAAACATTTTCTAGTATATTAATCTAATATTAGCAATAGATTTTTGAATTATTTCTTATACTGAAAGAGAAAATCTTCATATCTGTGATATTTTTATCACTGAAATTAGCTTTAGATTATATTCCGTGCTCTTATTAATTATGCGCATCTTTCTCATTAATTATTCTAAAAAGAGCTGGAAGCAAATTAGCTTTAAGCAAAATATTCCAAAGAATATTTTACTTAATTTTGACTAAGTGAATGTAACCGTAACAGTTTTTAACTTCTATCCTATACTTCTTTCTATAATTAAAGAGAAAGACTAAATTTGTTATTTTAATTACTAGAATTAGAGATTATCACTGCTCATGCTTTTACTTATATTTAATTAAGCATAAAACTTTAGTTAATCTTTTCGCGCCAAAATTTAAATAAAGTTTCCTCGCAAATAAAACCAGAAAGAAGCTTTTATCAGTTATTTTAAGGAAAAATAACTGAGATAATGTTGTTACAGCAAGGACTCGGAAATCACCATTTAAATTAAATTTTATGAAGAAAAGAAAACAAATCCTATAGTTTAAACGAAGTTAATTTCGCAAATTATGTCAAGCCTGTCATCGCCGTAGAATACATCATGTCCAGATCTGTCAAGATTACCATTAATGTGTGTAATGGGTATGGAAGTTCTGCAAAAATATTCAGGATGTAAGTAAAAATATGCGTATTCGTATTCCTGCATAATTTAAACAAAATAGACCCTCATTTACATTTCTGTTAGATTACGGAATTAATTTAGTGAAATGCGCTAAGATAAGCTTATTTGGTATTTTCTTAATTTAATCTTGAATGTCTGTCAGAGAAACTCTTCACTTCGGAATGGGCGGTGGTGTCTGAATTATTTATTATAAGCAGAAAGGCTTTTAAAATTAATTTTCCTCCAGAAAATATAAAAGTTTTTTTTTTTTTTTTTTTTTTTTTTTATTATCTTATTATTTTCAAACCTCTTTTCGCAGGGAAAGTTAAAATGCTTTTAAATTAATTCTTTGCATCTCTCTGTATATATATATATATGTGTGTGTGTGTGTGTGTGTGTGTGATGTACCAGCTTTTGTCGTAGCTTAAATTATCAAACGATAAGTTTAAAAAACAGGATCCATTTATTATTGGTCAGGAGAAATAGCAGTTACAAAATCAGATATCCGGAGTAAATAAAAAAGAACTACTAATAATATTTTGTATGAAGGTTTACTGCATCGTGACATTTAAGGAAAAGCCCCGATATTCTTTTGCGAGTCGTTTTATAGCCTCTGGAAAGGCGGAGTTTCCAAGAAATGACGTCAGCCTCGTCAGCCAATCCAATTCGCTTTAAATATTTCCAGAACATTCTAAAACTGTACGTGTAGAAAAGGCGGTAAAAACAACTTGACTACGGGGCTGTGGATTTAATTCCTTCAAAAAAGAGAACGTCGCCATTAAAAAATAAAAAGAACATACAGTTAGAATTTTAAGTGTATTCTTGACTATGGAATTTTATTATTACAAATATATATATATACATATATATAATATCTACCCTACATGCTTAAAACTAAATAATACAAATACGGTGCAACATAATGTAGTCTACCTTGATTTACATATTATTGATTACAATTTATTAAAAGTTTACGACAAAAGAAGAGAATTCAATTTTTCAACACTAAAATTAACCAACTGGAATTCAAATATATCCAAAAGAGTCATCCTCAACACAATCTATTCACAGCTACTTAGAATTAAAATAATCTGCAATACAGCAAAACATCTTCAAGAAGAAATACTATACTTCGTGACAATCTTGAAAGATAACCTCATTCCTCAAAAAGTAATTAAAAATACCTTTAAAAAAGCTGGCATTAGCCTTACTAATTTTTAGATTTTTTGAATTAGATAATGATATTTTATACTTAAAGCCCAGTGGGACGGTATAAAGTGGATGGCTGATTCTGAGAATCTAATGTATAAATGTACATATAATTCTTGTCACTAGGTGATCTTTCCTCCAAAAATTTGGCACAATACTTTTAATACTATTGTTTAAATAGTTTTAAGTTACTTTGATGGCCATTTCTACTACTATTATTAACAAACGGGCCTTTTCGTTTCGTGAAGCTTGATCGCCCTCTAGCTTGAAGAATTACGACTTTCATTAACAAATTACTATTTTTTCCATTTTTCTCTCACTTTTGTGGCCATGTTAAGTAATTTTTAGCTGAATTAGATATTTTCACTTTTGCACCAGTCCTTCTTCTTAAAATTACTTGACAGACGCCATTTTGAACTTTTTCCACGTCTTTTGCCTCCTTTGGCTTTAGGCGGGTTCCCGCCAGCGGACAGTCTCTTGACATTGGCTATTGCTCAGTGACTCTCCTTTCCTACGTCTCCTTTCTCCTTTCTACTCCTTTCCTACGTCACACGACAAGTTGTGTTTTTTCTTTCTCCTTTCCTACGTCACACGACAAGTTGGAGAGCGATGAAAAGCGCAGAAGGGAAATACAACCCCTTTTTTGTTTTCCTACTTGCCAGAGAAGACAGCATTGCTACAAGTCTGATTTTTAACATTTTTTTTTTTTTTTAATTTTCTTGGTCTTAGCAAAACCCACGTTGTTGGTTGTTTTATTGTTTCCTTGTTCCTTTAAATTTAATTTCAGATTCATTTATAAAATTTTAATTCTTTAAGCTTGCAGGTTCAGCCCGTACGTTATTGTATATTTTGAGTAATAGTATACAGCTATTTATTTTTATTTTTATTATTGCTGTACATCGGAATTGCATTTACAGTTTTAATTCTTTAAGCTTTCAGGTCCAGCCCGTACGTTATTGTATATTTTGACTAATAGCATACCGCTATTTATTTTTATTTTTATTATTGCTGTACATCGGAATTGCATTTACATTTTTTACACCTTAATGTGTCAATTTATGCGGACGCGTCGGGAAATTGGAACAGAGAATTGAAACTAAAAAAAATTTTTGGACAGTTTATTTAATTAATTAAAAAATTTTGTAACACAAAGTTTCAATTGTCTGTTTCGGCGAAACGCGTAATGGAGTTAGCTTGGTTCGATGTTCACTCAGAAATTTCCCTTGAAAAGCCAGAGTGGACCTCGAATTGGGCTAATTTTTTCCGCTTTTTAATTTTCAATATTTTTTGCCTTTAACTTGTTCCATCGATTGGTTTTCTACTATGTTTTATTTTTTTGCCTTTAACTTGTTCCATCGATTAGTATTTTACTGTGTTTTATAATTTACATTTTATTTCGCATGTAGCCTTATATATTACTTCATTCAATTTGATTAGTTTTTTAATACTGTGTTAAAATTTCCGAAAATATTTAATATATAGTTTTTTTATTCGAACTTGTAAATAACTGCTGAATATGCATATGTTGGATTTTTCTTGGAGCCACAGCTTTTGGTAACTTTTTGGCGAGCT